ATATATATATATAGCAATAATAAAAGTTTTACGTACATAGGAGTTTTAAACTAAGCCTTGATTATCATTCGAGGGCAACAGAAATTTCAGAATCAAAATACGTAACGTCATATAGGAAAGATAAATATCGTGAGAATAGAGGAACCTTTACTCTCATTATATATCCGTTAATTTTTATAACGTAATTGAAAATAACAAATTTTATATAATGTAAGGAGTAACGGCTCGTATAAAATCATATATTTTCATGAATTAATCAAAGGAACGATTATAATTAATAACGATCTTTCTTTAAGCATATGACAGTTGTCATTTCATAATATCTGTATTAATATTCCAATTTGTTTTTGTTGTTGAAAATAAAAACTATTTTAAAAGAGAAAGAAAATATTCAGCTTCCATACATCATAAAATGTATCAGTACGTTTCATACGAGAAGATGAATATCATTAATCGATTCCGCATACTCTACGTAATTATATATTATTTCAATTTGAAAATATATTTATACTATTTATTTTAAATTTCTTACTTAGAACTAAGAATTGAAAAACATGAAACTAACTACAACAAAACAACGATTTGCATAAATAAAAGGATTTTTATATTTTATAAAAAAAAAAAAAAAAAAAAAAAATAAATACGTACGTACGAATAAAGGAATAATTAAATTTGGAAATTTTTTTCTATCAAATGCATTGCATAATATATTAAATTATATACCATATTCTTAATGAATTATTAACATATAAATTAAGATGTAATATTATATATTTGTATTTATAGACGGAAATAATAAAGAACCATTTCGAAAGTGTGTTAATCAAGTATTTTTAAAGGTAAGTAAAATAAAGGTATTAATTACAAGGTACATGCAGTAAGAATAACTATAAAATATATTTATTCTAAGAAATATAATTAGAAATACAATAAAATAAGAAATGTTTATTGTAATGAAAATTAAATTAAAAAATTTTAATTGCAGTAATATGTATATTATTGTTTTCAATTTTTAAGGTCATTACTGTATATACGAATAATTATATTTCACAAAGCACATGACTATAGATCTTAGAAGAATATTAAAGACTTTGAGCTGAAAATAGTTTGAAGTGATGTCATCGTAAAGGTTGTAACAATATATTTATTTAGGCCTTCATTGAGTCCCTCCAATCAATTATTCATAGTAAATATCGAAACTTCCGTGGTCATTATATATATTACAGCGAAATGACTCCATTGTTTTCAATTCGAAATAGATAAGAGAAATCATGACTTGGAGTTTCGAAGTTAATAGAATACCAGTAGGTGGCTATTCTAACTTTTCAATCAAGGCAGAGATAAATATGCGACATTAAGTCATTTGAGAAGTATTAACATGATATATGTATTGCATAAATTGAAGTATTTATTAAATTTATGAAAATTTTTATATTATTTAACATGTTTGTAAAATCGAGAAAGTTCGTCAAGACGAGGAAATACGTATGGTCGATTTATTACTCCCCCCTCCCACAATATTATAATTCATTATGCATTTAAAATAATAATTTTGATAATTACATTGATTTAAGATAAATTTCATCCTTTCAAATATTTGTTTTATCAATATTTTTATAAATCAATAATATTAAAAAATATTAACGTATATGTATATTTTCTCTAGATTACATATTAAATAGATATTTAATTCTGTATTTTGAATAATATTTATTTTGAAATTATTTTTTTTTTATAAATACTTGATTATATTTTTGGAATAGTAAGATAAAAATAAAGTTTAAAAAGAGTATGTCATTATGTCATTCTTCTATAGGGAATAGCATATTTAATGCTATAGATAATACTAGCTAAGATAAGCTAAGATCTAAATATTCATAATATTTAGAAATGAAAATCCATTAAATTATTGTTAAATATCTTGTGCATCAAATTATAGATAAATGTAATTGAAAATTCAGGAGATTTATTATGTATGACGCCCGAGAATATGTTGTTTATTGATAATTATAGAGAAATATTGCGGTTCACTCAAATAGATCATTAACTTATTTTGTATATAGATTACATTAGATTTTAAGGATTTCTCTGTATTAATCTATATCTTTTTTTGTTATTAAAATCTAATAAATTTTTATTGATACGTAACTTACAAAATAGCCTATTAGAATCGTTATCTTAATATATTAATGTTATTTGATAATTGTGAAAAACAAAGCAAAAGTAGAAAATGACATTGACCTTTAGGCTCAGAAATAAATTGTTCAGATATGATTACAAAGATTTTAGAACAATAACGTGTATTACTATATAAAATTTCCATTAGCTAATGGAAATTGATAATATTTACGATCAAAGGGGTAAATAAATACACAAAAATATCTTGAAATCATTTATAAAGTGCATGTTTGATTGAATTTCGAATCAATTTTAATTAATCTGGAAATAGAGGAAAAACATTTTCTAAATAAGTTTAGAAAACCTTGACAATGTTGTAACGCCAAGAAGTATTGTTATGAGAAGAATTATCAAAGTATTTATAATGCAATAATTTTATTTAATATCTCTTATTCAAGAAATAAAAATTTAATATTCAATTTTTAAATTAACATGAAGTAAAATTTAAAAAATTTGGAATTGATAAAGAAAATACATAAAAATTATTTTTTGAAAAATTAATTAAAACCAATTAAACAAGAATTTAAATGAATTACACAATTTATTATTTACATTTACATTTACTTATCATATTGTATTATATGAAAATTGAATTTGTAATGTTAAAATGTAATTTTAATTAAATATTCTGGAGACTCTTTTATCTTATCATAGAATTAAAAGGTGTCAATTTTGATTCTCAGTCTGTCTAGCAAAAAAATGATTTTAAATTCTAATGAATTGCAGCAGTTGTTTTAAAGCTAATTAATGTTAAATTACTTGTTATATGTACTTTAAGCCAAGTAAATAAACCATAATAATTGGTGTTTTTGATTGTTTTTTCTTTTGCGTAAAAAAAAAATGAGTAGAGATGAAAAATGAAATAATACTAATGAAAAATTCTTTAATTATAGTTATTTTAAAAAATATAAGTTATACATTTTGGATACTTTTTTTTGAATATAATATACTTTTATTAAAATCTTATATAAACTTTATCTATGACGATTTTGTAATATTTATAAAAATACACGTAAGAATATTAATAATGGAATATAGAGGATTGCTTATCGTAACAATTGTCATTCATAGAAAGAATGAATTTGACATTCTTAAGAAACATTGTTTATCTATTGTACTTGAATAATTCATAGAATTCTTGGCCAAAAGAATATACAA